AAGCATTTGTTTCGAAAATCTTGTTTTTTTCTCAATAGTGAAGATTTCGGTGTAGTTCAGAGACATCTCTCCAAAGGTTGTTCAGAATAAGTGTATATGCAGTTGATTTTGTGGAGTGTAGATGCTTCTAGCCTTTTGTTACACCATCAGAGCTTGTCGAGACGTAGACTAATTAGATGGTCCGGCAGTCCCTACGCCAACTGGGCGGTGCCCCAGCAACTCCAGATGAGCTGCCTAACCGGGTGACCGGCGGTTACCCTTCCCCGCTTCCTTATCTTATAAATATATAATAAAGATTCTAGTCATAAATGTTATGTTCGTATGAAGTAAGACAATCAGGGTGAAGGATTCAAGTCAAGAGAGTGCACCTCTTGGACTTGACAAGCTTTGCAATCGTGCTCTTGAGCTCAAACTTTCTGGGTTTTTTTATGAACAGAAGGAAGACTTTTCAGAATTGTTCTTCGACTTTTCCTGTTACTTCTATCATCCATCGCTGGTAGTGTCATACACTACTAGCGATGGATAGTAGAAGATTCCAGTTATCTATGAGATTGACTGGAATCTGAGCGCTAGTAGTAGAAGTTGTGAAGGTTCTCCTATTGCCTTGGCTTTTCTCGTGTTCGGATTAGAGGCCTCCACATCTCATTTCACTCCTGTTTTCGGTTATAATGCTTTTTTGTTCGTAAGTGAAATGAGAAGCGTTCAAGTTGGGCGCGCGTTGCGTGTGCGCCGCGCTAGTACCTGAAGCTGGCCGGGGTCCGCACTATCTCTCTCGTACGTATGCTTACCAAGTCGATCGACTTTTCATCAGACGTTGCAGATCCTCACTATATCGTTTCTGGCTTGAAAGATAGGACAAGGCAAAAGATATGTTGACAAAAGTCTTGGAGGCAACTCCAAACGATGTTGAAGTTTTGTGACTGTTACTGAAGCATTGTGACTGTTACTGTTGCTTAGTCACATCACATTGCTTCCAGTATTGCTTAGCGAGATTAGGGACTGATAAGGCTAGGTAAGCATGTAAATGTGAAATGTTTGAGTCACATAGCTTCTTCTTTACTGTTTATGTGACTTTCAATTACAATTTGCAGAATCGCTTTTGAACGAGCGTTGGAATTGCAAAATGACAATGTTTGTGCTCTCTCAGCACTTGCCATTTTGGATTACAATACGCATACTGTCGAGGGAGCCCAAAGTGCAGTGGCTTGTCTAGGCCAAGCGTATAGTCTGGAGCCGGAGAATCCGGTTGTCTTGGTCCATCTTGCCAACCACTTCTTCTTCAAAGGAGTCAGTGCAGAAATTCTTTGAATTAATTACGAATTATCTATAAAAGGGACCTTTTAAATTTGTCCAAGCTGTTACATCGAGGTGTTTATCGCTTTATCTGAAGGCATCACTTTTTCAGGAAATGAACAAGGTTGAACGGTTAGCGTGGCATGCAATGAGTATGACGGAAAGTGACGAAATCAAGGCCGAAGCTTGTTACATTCTTGCGCGGTTTTTCCATTTCAACAGAGACTATGAAAAGGCGTTCAAGGTAAGTTGCATATGCAAGAATTTCAATCCATGTCATCATCGTGTCCTAGTACTATTATCAAGCAACTACGTTGAATCATCCTACTTTCGTTTTGCCCCAGTATGGCCTTGGACCTCGGAATTCGAAGATGTTTGGATGAATATAGTTCATGTATATATCGCACTTGGACAATATGTCCCTGCTTTGCAAATGTGAGTTTATGGCGTTCCTCGCTGTTTTGTTTCATGTTGCACAGAATGCTTTTTTGATCTTTTTGTCATTTTCTTACCATGTTAAAACCATATGCTTATACTGTGGTGTTACAAGGTTCTTTTTGCAACTAGGAAATTAGTTTTTCTTTGAATATTCTTATCACTCCTAGTATGGTTTTTGTAATATGAATTAACTGTTGTACGTATGCTGGAGATAGATAGATAGATTTTTCGAAAGTTTGAAAAATTTGAAATAAATGTCTTATCTCTTCGTTCTTTCTTCTATCTTCTATCCACAAACGCTAGGGGTGAGAGGGAGGGGGTAGAGTACGAGGTGAGGGTCGCGCTAAACTCCTACCCGGGGGGGGGGGGTCCTATTCGGGTTATTTGGGTGGGGTTAGAGACAAAATTGGGGTTTGGAGCTTAAAGGCAGCGTCCAGGCAAGTCTGGACCTATGGGTATTTTACATGGAAAGTACTTTTGGGGCCCTAACTAAGCCATTACCCAACCGGCAGCTCAAGTAGTGCTCTAACGCCTGAGATATTCTGCTCGAAACCGGACCCCGCGACCGTGTTTCGCATGGATTCATGGCGCAAAGCGTGGATCCTGGCGCGAAACTGCCATGAATCCATGCGAATACGTTCGCGGGGGTCTGTTTCGAGGGGAATATCTCAGCCATTGGAGCACTACCTGAGCTGCTGCTTCGGCAGTGCCTTAGTTAGGGCCCCAAAAGTACTTTCCATGTAAAAGCCCCATAGGTCCAGATCTGCCTGGAAGCTGCCTTTAATTAGGGCTAATTACAGTATGCCGCGATCGGGGGGCTCCGGCGCACAAAATCGGGGGGCTCCGGTGCAGAAAATGGGAGGTATCCGGAGCAGAAAATGGGGGGTATCCGGAGCAGAAAATGGGGGGTATCCGGAGCAGAAAATAGGGGGTATCCGGAGCAGAAGATGGGAGGGCTCCGCCGGACAAATGGGAGACCCACCGCTGGGGATACGCCGCGACCCTGCCACTTCTCCGGCGGAGGGGTCCGATCCGCTGTCTGAGATTGCTCGAGCGAGCGGCAATCAATGCGTCCGTCTTATCGGCCGGCAATATCCTTTGCCGTGTAAGCGGCCAACAGTGACCTCTATCTTCGGCTCATTGTTTTCACACACTGTGAGCGTAAACGGTACCTGCGTGAGATACGACGCAGCGTTTAGGCTGGCTAAGCGTCGGTATATCTTGTTATCATTTCCTCACTGCAAAGCTGGAATGGACCTGTGTGAGGCTACAGTTATCAAGAGTGATTGTGTGGGCTTTTCCATGAGAAGTTTGGATAGTGCTGCAGTCATTAATCCATGTTCCCAGAATGTGGAAATGATTAACATACCCAAGAAAAACGGTCAAAATACCCCATATAAATCCACTCCAGCAGCAAGCGAGCGGCCGACCTTCCCGCGCAAGCGGCGAGCATTAGAAACCGTGCGGGCGCCCCACGTTAACCGTGCTAACGGCCCTTGACGACCGTACAATCGCACACACCGACGAGCGATTGTAAGTTCGTCGCTGGCCGCTCGCACGGTGCGAGTCCCTGAGAAGGAAGCTTGCTGTGTGCAATGGTATCATTTCCGTAATCAGCATGTCAAATTACCTCTACGCGCTCTACAAACCATTGCCTCTGCAGTTTCTAGTATTTCTCAACGTCCAAAAACGTGATTTTCGAACATGATTAACTTGGTTTCAAAAACGAAAGATGAAAGCTTTTCTATATTCACAACAAAGTAATGTTCAGTACAAGTCTATGCTACAAATCAGGCTTCATTTCGCTTTCAAGCAGTGAAGTAAGAAGTGCTTCCAAAATTCCAACCAGCACATCTTCACATTGAGTGCTCCAGCTCCTCGGATTAGCACAAGGCCGAAACAAGTCGAGCCAAGCTCAAACACTTACTATGGAATCTTCGAGGGTCGAGCTAGCGAATCATACAAAACTTGCCTAGAAAAGCTTCTTCGGAAATAAAGTTAATGGGGTTAGGCGCAACCCCTGAAAAGGTCAGGCCGCCTGAGCTTTTGAGAGGTTGCGCCTGACCCCATTAACTTGCCTTCAGTGCTCAAAAATCGCCCCTTTTTGAAATGAGTACTGAGCGCAAAGCCCTTCTTGTTATATTGAAAATTTCAAGCCAAACAATCCAACTCTGTGAAAATTATAGCTCTGAAAAGAGGGCTATCCAGATCCAAAAACTTGCCGTCAACTTGCGCGTGGTGTGCAATCGCAGAAATTTGGTACAGAATTTAAAAAAATAGAAACCTGTTGTGAAGGCTGGTCTTCTTCAAAATATAACACCCCGAGCACCTGGATATGAAACGGAGGGGTCGTTTAGGGGCTTTCATAGGGAAGGGGGGTCGTTTTCGAAGGGCTTGTGCCTGACCTCTTGCTCAACCCTGCATATCATTCAGGCACATTTAGTTTTAAAGTAAAAGTCACTTGCGAAATAACACTGGGCGATTTATAATCGTTCGTGATGTGAAGAGCTGAGACGACGAATTGGTAATATCTCGTAAGGGAATGTCAAAATTCACTGTCATTAGTGACAGTTTCACTTCAGCACTATATGATAATTTGTACTTTTTCAAACTGGCTTTATAATAACAGAAAGATGACAAATTACTGAAGTTGGTACTCAGGGCTTGAGCTTTTTCCTCACATGATTTGTTCGTGATTAAGACAATCTATGATATATCATTCTTTCTCCGATCAGCCTCGGGCAGAGTTCACGCGATGAGACAAGTGTTACGAGTTCATTGCATGCCGATCTTCTTGTATCTCAGTCGTATAGTTAGCCACAGTTAGTCGTGTTGGAAAACTATCACAACCGATTTGCAAGAAGATCGGATGCAATGATTGTTACAGTTGTCTTGCCGCGATGGATCGCGACGGTGAAATCGCGTGAGCTTTGCCCAAGAGACACGAGCACGCTTTGCGTACGTCTGATTATTAGTGAGTGCGTTCCAACGCGTTTTGGTTGCTTTACTGGACTTCGTGAACGAATATGATCAAGCTTGTTAAATAACGAGAGTTCAAAGATGTTCTTTCACGAATTTCTAATAGTAATTTACCAAGCCAGGCGTATGCTGGCTAATTACAGACTCAGAGCAAGGGTAGCAGCAATTTTGAAGAGGACGATAAATGGACCTATTCTGCCACCTATGTGAAAACGCACGCGATCGCTCTATTGCGTTATTGCGTGAATGTCAAAATCAACATTTTTATGAATAAAAACTGACTTATCAGGATGGCAGATCTGCCTCCCGAAGATGGTCCTCAGGACGAAGAAATACCTTTGCTACCGCCGGAGGCACCACCTCCTCCAGCATCGGCGATCTGCGGGACTGCATTGATCCTAGTGGTGTTCGTCTTACTTATCACGACCGTTGCCTTCGGCGCTCTATACTTCCGCGTAAGTGCGATCCGAAATTACTATAAAAAGCTCTGAAACTTTCATTGTTCAGGAATCCGCGCGTCTGCCGCGGTGGCCGAAGCCATCTATAAGTCCTCTTGGAAAATATTCGCGAGCTGCTGTGGCGGCGGACAATGAATACTGCTCGGAGATTGGTAGGTATGTTACCATTTTCCTTTTTTTTCTGCGAGGGAGTGGGGGAGGAGTGAATGGAACTGTGCACCACAAAAATCACTCATTTTGAGAAATGCACTACTTCATGGAGGGAATGCCATCGATGCTGCTATAGCTGCACTGTTTTGCATAGGAGTGATGGATTCGCATTCTGCTGGACTGGGAGGTGGACACTTCATGACCATTTACAACGCGTAAGTTTTGATTTCATGCTACATACGGAGCACTTTCAAAAAGATGAGAGCGCTATTTACACTGGACATGAAGTGCTCGAGGTCATCCAAAGCTGATATTCACTTTCCCGCGTGCAGATTTCTTTTTGAGAATCTTAAGCTTACATATCTCATTGTAGATCCACGCAGAAATGCACGGTCATTGATGCACGCGAAGTGGCACCAAAGGCTGCTACCGAGAATATGTATGAAGGAAAATGGAACGAAAGTGTCATCGGTGGGTTTCCACGTTCTTCTGAGAGCTTGAATTGAGAAAAGTAGATAAACATTGCAGGCTGGAGAGCAGTAGCGGTTCCTGGAGAGCTACATGGATTGTGGACAGAGTTCACAAAGTATGGCAGCGGGAAGGTGACATGGAAAAGTTTGGTGAAACCAACACTTGAACTGCTAGAAGAAGGTACTCCGAAGAGTTTTACGGTTAGCATTTGTGTACGCGTGAAGTTTTCAGGATTTCCTACTTCACATGCGTTGGCGAAAGCCTTAGCTGGAAGAGCCGACTACATCGCAAGAGAAAGCTCTATGAAAGCGTTCATCAACCCCAAAACTGGTCAAGTATATCGTGCCGGTGAGCAGATCACAACAAGGTATTTTTCGAAGGTTTGAGAAGAGTTTTCAAAAAGTTTAGTTCTAATTTTGAAAATAAGTTGTCACGTTTTCATCCACACCTTTTCAAGATTTTTTGTTACAGGACGAAGTTGCTGAAAACCCTTCGGCGTTTAGCCAACGCTACGGACCCTGTAAAAGAATTTTACGAAGGCGATATGGCAGAACAAATGGCACGGGAATTTCAGCAAAATGGTACACGCCCTAATAAAAGTTTTTGGCTACTATTTACTCTTACCCTTACAGGAGGTATTTTGACAAAAGAAGACTTTGCGTCGTATCGATCAGTGCTCATTCCTTCGTCCGATGTCATCTACACCAAACTGAGCAATGGTCGAATGATTTGCGGACCTCCACCTCCTTCTGCATCAGCTGTGACTCAAGCAATATTGAGTGTTATGGATGGGTAAGTTGTGGGATATCTGCTACTTTTTTACCCAAAAAAATCAGGAAGCTCGAGGTAATCAAGCTGCATCTATCTAAATTCTTGGTCGACGCCAGTTACTATCGCAGAAGTCTTTTTTTATTAAAGGAGAACAGAAGAATTACAGGCTGGGGAGGGGGGAGGAATGACGTCATCGCTCCCATCGAAAAAGCTAGAAGAATCTCTTTATTCTCGTTTTAAACCCTAAATCTCGCCGAAGGAAATTTTACCTTAAGCTTGGCTACTCTCCCCCTTCTCTCTTATTGCTTCTCCTTCCAATCCTTCACCAGTCCTCCACCAGCCTCCACCACTGGTTCTTGTTTTTTTTTTTCAAAGCACAACCTACTTTTGTTTAGGTACAAATATATGAAAAAGATTGAAGACATTGGCCTTCTCTACCATCATTTCGTCGAATCTTCGAAATTTGCGTAAGAAATGAAATTTTGGAAAAGCTCTACGTTAAACCTACTTTTTCAGATACGCAGCTCGTAGTTGGCTTGGTGATCCTGCATTTGTACATAATGCCACGGACACTGCCAGAAACATAACGACTAATGAGTGGGCCGACTGGGTGAGGCACGTACAGCTGAATAAAAACGATCTAGAAACTATAGTGAATGCATTTTAGATCTTTGATAACCGACGAGACACATCCGGATGAGTACTACGGCGGTTCTTTTCTGGCACCTCCGACGGACCATGGTACTTCACATATTTCTGTGATTGACAGTGAAGGAAATGCAGTGGCAGTGACTTCCACTATAAATCTATAGTGAGTATACAAAATGTACTTACATGAGTTTAGTAATATGAAATCAAAGCTTAGAGAAGAAGTAGGGAGAGATTAATAATGCCTATACTCTACTTCATGTACGATAATTTTTTTGACTGAATTTGATTCTTCTCACATTCGACATTGCTGATTGTGAGTGATCACTCAAATAAGCCATTTCGCTCCATTTTCAGAAGAATGAACTCAATTGCAAAACTGTCTCATAAATATCACTGGCGTGTAATTCGAAATTGAAGTATATACTTGTAATTTACTGTAACTTTATTATTCTGCTTTCTCTTCTAATGGCAAACATAGTAGCTTATATGAGAAGAACCGAAGCTTCGTGCTGCTATGATTTCCAAATATCATCAAACCTCAATATGGTCCCATACTCTCAATTATCTCTCAAACCCTTATGGCATTGATAAATTAGGTGGATGGTTATTTGTTAATGATATGATTTTTGTCCGTGTCTTGTCTGATTCCGCTGTCGACGCACTCGTAAAGTGTTGAAGTTCAGCCAATACTTTCAGTCTAGGAGCAGCAGTGACATCGCCCTCTACTGGCATCCTCTGGAATGATGAAATGGATGACTTTTCCTCACCTGGACGCCCTAATTACTTTGGCATCCCTCCCTCGCCTGCGAACTTCATCCGACCCGGAAAAAGACCGATGAGCAGTCAGAGCCCTATCATTATCTTCAATACGAAAGCTGATAGGAAAATCAAGGTGATAAGCGTAAAACATGATCGTAAAACATATGAAATTTTAGCAACAAGTTCTGGCTGTCGGTGGAGCAGGCGGTTCGACGATTATCAGCGGAGTGGCAGGAGTCGCTTTGCATAATCTTTGGCTGAAAGCAAATGTAAAACAAGCTGTGGATGCACCTCGTCTTCATAATCAGCTCCGGCCAAATGTCACCATGTACGAGCCGAACTTCCCCAAGGTTTGGTCTGAACCGTCTGATTTTGTTCTCACAAACGATTCCGCTATAGGAGTACATCGCTGAACTGTCCTCTCGCGGTCACGTCATGAAAATGGTCAATAACCTCACAGTGGTGACTGCGGTCGAGAGAGCTGTGGATGGGCAAATTTATGCGAACAGTGACTTCCGGAAGGGCGAAGAAAGTGCTCCAGCCGGTTACTGATGCTCGATTAATTAGCAGCTAAGAATGTGAAACCTATATGGGACTACACGGGCCATTGGGAGAATAAGGAGAAGCGCTGTGATTGACTATGTTGTTTATTTTGTGTAATTATGCAATGATTGCTATGAACATGATTTGTTTCGAATAAATCAAAGACTACTCTGAATTTGTCTTAAATAAAGCGACGTCTATTCTAGCGACTTCTGCAGAAATGCTGTACACTGAGTTATCGAAATAACCACAGAACTCAAACGAAATAAGGAACAAAGTCTCTACAACTGTCTGTGAGGAGTTGAGCCATCCCTAGTAAAGTCGGAAAGTCTCTAGAGGTGATCAACATGAATAATGAAAATTGCTTCTAGCTGCAAATGAATAGTGTTGTCAATAATTCCTTGATTTGGTTTGATAGATTTTCCGGGAAGTTTGACATCGCTTTCTTTGTGGTGAAACCTCAGTATTCCCAACTTTTGAAATAGCTGAGCAAGCCAAAAATTTTTTGCAGGACTAGGGCCATATCTACCCCTTCAGGCAAAGAGGCAATCTACTTCAAGAGAGAGGGGAAACTCTTATACGCCTTTCATCTGAATTTTCTACAAAACCAGGTGAGAATCGTGTTCTTCATCGCGAAGGGTTCTGCTTGAAATGTCAGGTCCATTCACGGCTCAGAGAGTTAGGTTGGTGGATACCTAGTTAGAGGCAATACCCTTGAACCGCTCCGATTAATGAGCGATAGCAGTCCGCACTGATTTAATACCATCATGAAAGTATCTATCATCCATTTTTTTCTCAGCCTGCGTCAAAAGGCGGAATTGAATACAATAAGCGCCGCCTGGATGCGTGCTCAGCTCGATTTTGAAACAACATTGATTCAGCAATAAGCCTTCTACAAAAACCTTGTGCGGAGCTTTTCAGCTTGGTTGGCAATGAAGTGACATCGGCGGTCGATGGTAGTCGTGTGTTTTTCCCTAATATCTGTCGCATACATTCAATATTGATGAATAGTACCAGACTCCGCGTTCCATCAGTCCCACCACAAAATCGCTAGCTGAGTTCATTCCTCATCTGTTGCGCTGGATTTTGACTAAAATAGGAACTAGCACATAAAGTGAATGGCATGCAGGTGGCGTACCGAAGTTGTATGGGTGCGCGTAAAAATGTGCTGACTTGTTTATACTTGTAGATAATTTAAATAAGTTCGAAAATATTTCAAAAAATCGAATAAGCCTTGCAAAAAAATTTTTGGGAAGCATCTCAGAACAGTTCTTTTTCGAAGAACACTTTCTCCTGCCCCCTCCTTCTCCCCTCCCCCCCCCCTCCCAACCTTCAGCTGAACTCGAACTCCCGCTGGCATACATGTGTATTTCCTGGAATCGCACCGCTTAGGTAACAACACTCTGATAACGAAAGCACGTTGACAGTGATCATGTTTCTCGTGTTGCCACACAGTTGGGCGTGGCTTTCCCAATCAGAGTCCTACTGGCTCGTGGCATAATAGACGTCAATTACTTTGAAGCTACAGTTCCGCTAATCCGATCATACCGAATTTCGGGAAACAATCTCTCTTGACTCTTGACACTTGACACCAATTATGGTAGATGGACTACTGATGAAAGGGTGAAACACCTGGGGGCAGCAAGGAAGTCACACATTCGGTCTAGTTCTTAGCCCCGACACCGGTTATGTGTGGAAATTAATTTGTCTCTCTTCATCATCATGAATGCTATCACATCGATAAAAGTTTTCTTGTTATCACAAGTCTTTCTATGTAAGGTATTGAAGTGAGCCTAGACTTTTTTTAACAGCACATTTGAGTGCTCTTTGTGTCCCTTTTCAAAGTGGTGGCTAGCAAGTGCAAACAATTTCTTTAAGACAGCTCAAACCAAAGATATATTTGTTAAGCACAGCTCCACTCGATATTCTGCAAGTAAACATGTCACTTAGAGACAGCTGGGTAAGACTCATTCAATCGCTTTAAGCTGTTGAAAAAGCGAGCAATGTAAAAGATGCTGAGTTTGTATTCGTTGAGGATTTGTGTGCAGTTCTATGATGTAATGAAGAGAGTGGCTGTGGTTTGCACCGAGAAAATTTCAGTCATTTTTATACTTTTTTCCTCACAATTTTCATTTTCTTTCCTCTATTGTTGCAAGACAACAATCAATCTGACTGCTATTATTGTGCCTTCTCTGCCAAGTACGTGTACACTCAGCTCTCTTCACGAACAAACATGTTTTTGCCTGCGAGCTCTCCTACTCGCTTCTCGTCCCTCCCAAAAATTTTGCTTTGCTTCCGTCTGCACATTAAGACGTGTTGAAGCATGTTACAAAGCTTTGCGTCCATTGGGACATTGCATGTGCATGACTGCATTCGAGTTTTTTTCTCTTGCTCATATGAATATTTCCTTCTATTCTATGCGAGAAATCCGCTTTCGTGCATTTCATGCTTTTTGTTCTGCTTGGAAAAATTTCTCGCGTCGGAACTGGCATAGGATTACTGTGTCATTTGCTTGCACCAGCGATTTTGAATGATATGAGTTTTGACCTCATTTTTTTCCATTTTTTGGGATGTTGAGATACTCTAACATTCTTCTGTGTCTCAAACTAATTACAATGATTTGCAGAACAAACTCCGTGAGATCGTCATTTCTTGATTTTTCGTTTTTTCTTTGTCTGCGCAACCACAAATCAACGGAATACAGGGTAGGCCAAAAGTGCCTATTGTTTTGTTAATAACTCTCGGCGCGAAGCACTGAGCAGACATCAATCGCACTTCACCGTAACGCATTTTTCATAAGTTAAGCCAAATACCAAAACAACCAATTTCTGCAATTCGTCAAAAATCTATTAGGCCATTTAAAAAGTTCTACGAAAGCGGGAAAAGCTGTGTACTGAAATCAGCATGCATGAAAACCTTGTTATGCAATTTGCCTTTTTACAGTGGCGCAATATGCTATAAGTTCCTACCGTGGTCCTACAGTATTGAAGAAAGATTCTTGATTCGCCCATACTGTAAACCTAGTTGGAGCCAGCTCTAGTACCTAAAGCTTTTTGAAAGACTTCATTACAAGAAAGTTATTGGCAATCAAACAGTAGGCACGTCTTTTTTGGACACCCGTTATAAGCAGCATAATGATTTTATCCTGTATGTCACGCTCTTATAGTTTTACTTCAAGTAGACTTCACGATTTAGTGTGGGAATTTCTGTCTTGAAAGTCTGTCAATTCATAGCCTAGTAGCTTTGGTGGTTGTGGTCTTCTTGCGATCCCGACAACACTTGCACGTAAATAATGGCAGTGTGCGCTCTATGGGAAATTTTCGCATGACAGTGCCATCCCAAATACCGCCATTCATAAGCATAAGCGCAAATATCTCCGGCTTTGCACGAAACTTAACCATCATATATTGCTCTATATTTTGAACCCGAATCTTCTGAAGGGCATGTCATTTACAGAATGGGACCTTTTTGCAACTCCGCAATCAAAGATTGCACTCTTGCGCATGTCATGACACGTCTCATTGCTTCTCTTTACATTATTGGTTTGGTACGAGCTGGAAAACGCTATGTAAACAAGGTTATGCATTGTGAGTAATCGCACTTCGCCGCAACGATTGCCTTGTCATTGCGCTCTACACCACTTCTGCAAGTATCGTGTGTCGAACTGCCTTTCTCTGATTTTCAGACACTGTAAAGTGAAGGATTACTTGCAAACATTTTGTATCATAAAATTTAAGTGATTATGTTCTTAGTACTTTTTATTGTAACCTAGCTTTTTTTGATAGATTTTAGTGCTTGCGCATTGCCGTACAGATCTCTTTTATCCGTAATACATTTTGTTGTCATTTCGGCAACGTCGTCAAAGGCCTGAAAGGTTGTTACCATTTTTTGTTGGCTACCAAGTACCATCTTCCGCTTTCCGAAGTGCTCAGCATGGGAGAACAAAGTTTAACAGAAGTGTAGACTCACATTTCACCGATGATTGCAGGTGCAGCTGCTTCAAACGAGCTTTAATTGTAATGATAATCAAATAAAAAGTGTGCATGGTGTAGGGCTGCTTAAAACAGAGAGCATGCTCGAAATGAAAGATATGATAAGATAATAAACAATAAATAAATCAATAAATGAATAAATATGGCATGATGGTCTAGTAGATTCAATCCACGCTATCGAGAGTGAAACAACAGCGAGGAAAGATTTGCCGCGCTTACAGTATCGACAACTATCGCGCGTACAAAATGGCTATGGAGCACATAACCAAGCTTTCGCCCAAAGCTATCTGCTGATGTTGTTGGAAACGCGGAAACACTACATGGATTAAAATCTATTTGGCAAAAGCTGAAATGTGTTCGTCAAAATTCGATGGATATCATGGCATGGGCTAGCGCTTTCGCATGTTCTCACATTTGGAAAGTCGGGTCTTTCTATTTCGCGGAGGAAGTGAGCAATTTTCAATACATGTTGCAAAGGCATGGGTAGTGGTTTATATTGATAAATTCTTTAATCTTATATATAACCAGTGCGTCACCTCTGCTTCGCAGAGGTTCGCACTGGCTCTACTATCCGTGCCTTCTTCGTGATCGCATAATAATGACTTTGAAACTCACCGCGCTATGCTGAACATCACGAATGAATTGTAAACAACCATTCATTTTTAGTGCTTTTCCATGTAAGATTGGTAATTTCAGGAGAAAAAATTTTCCCGCAGAAAAACAAATGCGATTCTGAATGGGTTACTGAATTTATTTTGGCTTTATATTCGCCATAAGGATAAACACCACTTTGGGCTACATATCTATTCAAAAATCCTCTCAATTTTTATAGAAAATTCTTGGCAAATCGACAATTTGCTCACTTACATCTTTTTGGCGCCAATTTTCTGTAAAGATTGACTTTCTGCTTACTTTTTGAGCTGAAGTCAATGTTTTTCGGATTTACTTGCTGAACAAATCCACGACTTTGCAAAAAGCCCAACTACCGACAGATTTTGGCGGACCAAAAGTCGCGCGGACCCGTTTGGCGCTCAGTTTTCACAGGTTCCACTAATCGGATCGGCTTGTGCTTTTGCACAGTTTACCTACATGCTGATAGGGTGTTATGACCAAAATTTTAGCTCAGGATCTTTGATGGAAGTCGCTCT